AAATCTGAGTTGCAAGATCTTCCGGATCGATCTACGTAGTGACGTATTTTATTATAAGTTATATTCTATCGATATGATTTCTGAGGTTGGATTTGATTATTGTTCTAGGCGACCATCGTCATGACGCCTTGATGTGTTGTGCTAGGGAGTTGTAGGGCGAACTCCAGGTGAGTGGGCAGTTTTGTTTTCGTATTACCTATATACTATATTGAGTTTTCCCAGAAATTGAATTTAAATGAAAGTATGATTTAAAATGCCATGGATAGATTATATGAAAAGTATGATTTGAAATGCCATGCATAGAAGTATATGAAAAGCATGAATTGATGTATGATGCATATATATATGTGAATTGGTGCTGTGGACGCACATGTAAGTATTAGGTGAGTTTTATATTATTCATGTGCATTGTTGATGTGTATATTGTGGATAGCTCATAACCTGCAATCATGGTGTTAGTGCTTATATTATTCACCACACCGCACGCTCGTCTTGGATCCAAGTAGGTGGATGTCGTACAGACCAAGTGAGGGTTCCGACATGCTAGTCGTATAGATTACTAGATGTGATTCCGACTAGTGGGTGACCTTAGATTATGTGCACAGATGAATGATGAGAGAAGCACTAGAGCGTATTATTACACCATCCATGTCGTACAGACTACTTCAGGTAGTTCCGACTTATCTGCAGTGTAGTGCCGTACAGGTCATCATCGAGGTGACTCCGGTTGGATTGGATGTTTGAGCTATGGAATTAACCGTACAGGACCAACTGCAGGGTCTCCGGTTAATTCAACTTTTCACCTGTTACATTGATGCATCATTTTATTTTGTTTTCGAAATTAAAACATGGCATACTTTCGGGTTTTAAAGAAAAATTGATGATTCGAGATTTATGAAAAGTATTATGTTATTATACTATTTTCTGGGAAAAGTATACAGGTTTTACAGTGAGGGGTTAGAATTATTTTTGGCGAAATGTTTTTGAAAAGCTTGGTTTTACTGACCCACTCAATTTTGTTTTTCGCCCCTCCAGGTTCTTGATAGCAGAGTTTTGGTGGCCACGAGGAATCCAACGGTATTCTGACAGAATTCACAAAAGTAGGACTCACCCTCGAGGGTTTCCATTTTAATAATTGTATTTTAAGAGCTTCCGAACTGTGTAAATGGTTACGTCACTCTCACGTGACGGCCAGAACGCCCTCCTTCGGGACGGGGTGTGTCATTTGTGGATGTACATGTGCTAATTCTAGAATTAATCCATTAAAACTGGATCTATCTAATAAAGGTGTCTTAAATTTTTCATATCCTTTTCCTCTAAATCTGTATTATTTTCCTGTTTCATTATAGTGATCTGTAGCACTTATATATGGTTCCACTTCCTATACCGACCTTTTTATTTCTTTTTGAAAATGGTACTGGTCTATCAAAATCAGGTCTTCTATATTCCATTCTTTCTGAGCTTTTTGGTTTAGGTTCACTCATTTCTTCGTCAAAAAAAAAAAAAAAAAAAAAACCTTCTTGTGAATAATCTGGATCTATAATTTTTTTTCATTTCTTATATAGTTTTTTCTTGTTTATCTTTAAAAAATTCATAAAATGGTTTCTTTTTCTACAAATATCCTCTCAATTTTCATCTGTCCAATTGAAATATTTTTATACTTCACTTTCTAACTTATCATAATTCTGACAATGATTAGCTACCAATTCTATGTATTGATCAAGTTTTATCGGATTCATTAGTATAAATTTCCTTTAAAAATATTTATCTTTTTAGCTCCATTTATATTTCTTATATTTTCTAGAAGTTGGTCTATCTTCCAATTAGGATCTTCATATGGTATAAGCTGCTTATCTTTATCTTGTACTAAATGTTTTTGTAAGAAAATAATTTTATTTTCAATAGATTCTAATTTATGCAATATTTTTAGAAGAAAATAATTTGTACTATTAAGTAATTTTAAGGTCTCTTTATTAGCTGATCCTGAAACGGATAGCTGACTAAAAATTATTTGTGGTTGTTCTATTAAGTTATTTGTTTCTTTTACTGCCTCATTAAAATAGCTACTATCTTTGTATTTATCCATTGAGATTTTCCAAAAATTCTTCAATTCGGTCTAGAATTGCTGTAATCATTCTTGTCTTAAAGTGAATCTCTAATCTATTTATAAGTTCTGGACTTCTCATTATTGCTTTAACATGTTGTTCTGTTTGCAAAAGCTGATCTAAGAGTCTTTCTTTTATTACCAATAAACTATTTCTATCAGACCAATCTATATAAGATAGGTAAATAGTAGTTATTCATTTTAACTATAATCTATTATAGTCTTTTGTATTTTGTTTTGTGTTTCTTCAATGTTATCTATTCTGTTTTGTAGCTGAATTATTTGATTTTCAACCTTTTTCCATTCCTATTTAATTTATCTTGTCCTTTCTTTAAATAATCCAAGTTTTCAATAATTCTTTCGTCAGGGAAGATTTTATGCTTTTGTCTTTTAATGGTTTTTAAGTTGTCTAATATTTGAGTAAATTGCTTAATTAAGTTTCCATTATTATCTTGAATTATTATTTTTTGAATATTCTCTTATTTCTTCATACTTCTTATCTTCCAATTTGTTTAGGATTCTAAGGTTTATACAGTTTATAAAATTTAATTGTGCGGATAAAATGTGATTATCTATTGTTACATTATGTGTAACATCCCATATCGCTCAGGGGAGTGAATCTTGTAAGCCTTATATGTATATTCTTATCTCTACCTAACACGAGGCTTTTTGGGAGCTTACTGGCTTCGGGTTCCATCGGAACTCCGAAGTTAAGCAAGTTCGTGCCAGATCAATCCCATGATGGGTGACCCACTGGGAAGTTATCGTGTGAGTTCCCAGAAACAAAACCGTGAGGACGTGGTCGGGGTCCAAAGTAGACAATATTGTGCTACGGCGGAGTCGAGTCCGGAATGTGGTGGGGGTCCGGGCCGGGATGTGACATTATGGGGTACATGAGATATATGAAAATAATATTGATGTTTTGATCTTGATATTGGACAATGGAGATTACAATATTGTCTTTGTTTAAGATCTTGTTGACCCTAGAAATTACAAAGCCTACGTGGCGCGCAGGCCGAGTATATTCTAAGCTAACTACGTCCTTCGGTGATTGCGGGGCGTGCCAACTCGTCGGCCGAGGCTCGGCCGAGGAGTAAATTTGATGATGCTGCGTTGGGTCGCGCTACTACTGACTTCTGCGTCTTGCGATTGCGGCCGAGAAAGGAACACGTCTCGGCCTCTTGGGTTCTCGAGCCTGAAGACAAGGCTGCTATTTCTTACAAAGTTCACGAACCGAATTCGGCTTGCGATGTGCCGAATGTAATAACTGTGACACCTCACCTCGCCGAGAAGGCTAATGAGATGACCTCGACCAACAAGGATTCGAAAACCCTTCTCGACCGAGACTTGGATAGGTAATCGACCGTTCTCGCCGCAGTGCTGTTGATGCCAACGGAAGATACTGCGAGACCGACCGACTCTACGGTGACAGAGCTATCTATGCCGACTTAAGATATCACCGGTTGCTTCCACAGTGCTGTTGATGCCAACGGAAGATGTGTCAGCGAAAAAGGAAAAGAAAAAGATCTCAAGTTGTGAGAGTTTGCGCAGGGCAATTTTGTATTGATTTTGTGGGGGCTTTTCCTGATGCACAGCTTCCGCTATTTATAGCACTGGACCCTGAATCTGAGATAGAATCCTATTCGGACTAGGTTTTCCTCTCCGGATCAATATCACCTCGACCAGTCCTATTTTCATTAGGATTGTGAACCTAGTCCTTATTCGAGCCCTATCCGCTTCTAGGTTGTTAATCCTGCCGAGACTCCCTATTGTATCAGGACTCGACTTGTCATTGCATTTTGACCTAACCGGCCTAGGTTTGGAAGCCCACAAGCTGAACGATCCATGGTCTTCTTGTCGCAAGGCCTTCCGGGCCGAGAATGATTCTACACTCGGCCCAAACTATTATTTTGGGCCCAAACATTGCCCCCTCGCTTTTGAGGTCCTCGGCCTGCAATCTTCGGCCGAGTTCCGGCCTTGAAGAAGCGAATCTACCATTCAGAATCCTCATACCCGAGTTCCAAGGCGCATTTATTGAGCACGATCGCACGATCTTGATCCTGCTAACCTACTCGCCACGTGGCGTCCTCTAACATGGCCAATCCCACATAATGACGTCTAAGGCGTGCGGCAGCCTGAACCGTCTTGCCATCATGACCATTATCTCAATCCGCGAGCCACTACCTCAGTCCGTGAGCCCATTTGTCATCGTGCGGTCGTCGAACCGTCTTTTCGTCATTAATTTAGCCGTCACACGCAATCGTGCGCCCCCAAAACCCTAAAACCTTCGGTCTTCTCAACCGCATTTCCCAAATGTTCATCATGATCAACAATTCCTTCGGTCGATTTTGCCCTTTGTTTTGAATTTCGAACGATTGCTCTTCCCCCCACAACCTCTATAAATACCGAAATTTCCTCATTTGTACTACGCTCTCAAACTTTCCGAAATTCTCTGCCATTGATTTCTAGTGCCTCTCCTATTCCGAGTCTTCGTCTTTAAATCCCCAACCCAGAAAACCCTTTTACTCCGGGCTTCTTTCTCATAATGGCATCCTTCATCTCCAAGCTTTCCAGGGAATGTGACCAACATCAGAAGATCCTTGATCGGAGCTCGATCAAGACCATCCGGTTTGAAAACGACATGAACACCCAGTACCAAATCCTGGGTCCTCTCTTCAAGGCTACAATACCGCCGACTATCATCGGCCTTCTACAGGAGCACTGCCTAAAACCCTTGCTTCAAGGGTTTGAATGGTCGCGATGGGATGCGGCTAAACCCCAGGGCTCCTGGCCCTCGACGACCACATCCTGGGCAGCCTGGGTCGTTCGAATGGAACGACTCTTCGGCGAGCAATGGAAGGCCCTTGGCATCTACGACGCCATCCTCCTTTCGTCCATGGAAATCGTCCCCGACAAGGAACTTCTCCAAGCCGCTCTGTGCTTCTGGTGCTCGGCCACCAACACAATGGTCCTCCCTCTGGGTCCCATTGGTCCCACCATCCTGGATATTACTACTGCCATTCTGGGGACTTCGGCGACCGGGATCCCTGTCGACGCGACCCTCTCTGGGTATCCGTCGAATATCGACCTGAAAACGCTCTTCGACCGTCGGGCCTTCGAGACCTTGAGCCGTGACGGTCATATCCCGTCGAAGGAAGATATTCAGAAGCTCCACAAGAACTTCTGTAATTACAACACCCTCTATCTTCACTTCGCCGGCCGAGGAGAAGAGGACCTGCGAGAGGGAGAACATGAAGCCTTCCTCTTCTACTGGTACAACAAATACATTTGTTGTACCAAGTCAAACAAGTGTTTGGTCGAGAACATGCCGGTAGCCGAAGCCCTGGCTAGTGGTCACGTCTTGGCGCTGAGTTCCAACATTCTCGCCCAACTTTTCCGCTGCCTGGCCGAGGCGACCCTCCAAAAGGTCGACCCGCACCAGAATGGTCCTCTCTGGGTCTTCCAACTCTGGTTGCAGGTATACTTCACCTCCCTTCGGCCGGCCATAGCCGAATTCTCACCAACAGAGGCGCTTGGGTCTCAACTGGCCTCTCGACCGACACCTCCCCATCAAGCCGAAGAGGTATTTCGGTACCTCTTCGCTCTCGACGACTTCTCCAACGACGAGTTCCTAATATGTCGTCGTCGAAACTATCCTTCCTCCATCAGGCTGCCTATCTCCCCATGGAGCGCGGAGGAGGACGCCGATCTCCGTCAGACCTGGGGGTCGTTTGTGCTTGCCCGCGACCTCCCTCTCGGCTGCGATGGGAAACGGTCAGGATGGGAAGTATATCATCCGAACTTCCTCGCCCGACAACTCGGCTACCTTCAAGGCTGCCCTATCCCCCTTCTCTCCTCCCGAACGGTCCTAAGCCGTGGACGCGAACCTCGTTCCTCTGAGAAGGAATGTAGAACCGCCGTGAAGGAGTTCCAAGAGCGCTGCCAAAAATTCCGCCTTCGACCAGCCACCCCGGAAACCCAATGCACCGACACCTTTGGTGAGTGGTGGGAGAAATACACCCAGGAATTCTTTGGTGCGCCGGTCGAAGACGTGCTTAGCAGACTCTTCAGTGACCGGCCTAAGAAGGCCTCGGCCCCTCATCCTCAAGGTACCGGTTTCATTTTCTTCCTTTCCATCAACCTTGCATATTGAGTTGCCTTACTGAATTGTCTATCTTTTTAGGTAGTCGGCCTTTGAGAAAGACGGAGGCAGTTGCCGCTGCCACGACCGGGAAAAAATCGGTCGTGGCCCAAAAGGACAAACCCGCTGGTAGGGCCGTGCTGATCAAACGGCCTCGCCAAGAGGCCGAGCCGGCTGTCGAGCCTTCCCCGCCAGCCAAGCGGGTCAAACAAATGGCGAAGAAGGGTGCCCGGGAGATCCACGTTATCTCCAGTCACACGACGACTCCCAGTGCTTCTTCTTCCGCCGCCGGCCATTCTGGGGTCGAGAAACAACCGGCCTCGGCCGCAGAGACGACCCCAGCGCGGCCTGCCTCTGTGGCCGGCGCATCAGTTGTACCTCCCTCTGTCGAGAAGGCACCTGTCCCACAACAGGCGGTTTCTACGACCGAGGGAACCTCTCCCAAGAATCCAAAGCCCTCGGTCCTTGTGTTGGACGAGAGCGAGGGGAGCGACGAGGTCCCGCTGGCGCACCGTCCTCATACTCGTCGACAACCTCCTCCAATACCCGAGATGGCGGTTCAAACCGGCCCCTCCCCGGCTAATCGTGGCAAGCGCACGGTCGAGGAACCGATCCCGGTGCCCGAGATGGCGGTTCAAACCGGCCCCTCCCCGGCTAATCGTGGCAAGCGCCCGGTCGAGGAACCGATCCCGGTGGCCGAACCTCTCGTTCCTTCTCAGGACCAGGGCGTCCCTGCCTCCTCTGTAGCAGCTGCGCCAGTCGGCCCATCGGTAGCCGACCGGGGCAAACGGCTGCTCGAGGAACCCGAGGCTACGGCAGAATCGCCGGTCCATCCCCAAGACCAAAGCTTCCATATTCCTCCACAGGAGGTTACCTCGGCCTTTGTAAGTACCTTCACTCGTCTCCTCCTGATTACTTTTCCGCTTTAGACCTCTAAACAAAGAAAATACCAAATGTCAGGTGCCTGTACATTCTTTTCACCGTCAATTCTATGCGCCGAAGGGCGTTATCTATATTTCCTGGCCGCCTCAGTGGCCATCAAACGTAGATAACCTCCATCGGCCGTGTGAAGTGAGAAGCAATCTGAGACACTGGGCTCGGCCATTGAGTTCTTTAGGTTCGAGCAACGATCCTGGGGACATGGCCGAGGTCTCCTCTCGGCAGGTTAAAACACGACACCTTCTTGCTATTCTTGTCATGACTTCCTTTAAACTTAACCTTATTTATTTGTGCAGGCTTCATGGGAGGTTGAATTCAAAGCCCTCCTCTCCAGCACGATTGCAGAGTTCGGCCCTTCGGCCGCTCCGACTGATGCTGCCGATCCAAGTGCCCTAACCCAGCTGCGAGAAGTCCTAGCGCGCTCTCATCATCGCAAGTTCTTGAGCGCAACGGTCTCGATTTGCTCGGCGTGTGTCTGAACGACCTTGGAGCCGATGGTCGCCTGAGCGGGAGATGCCATTGTCCGGGCATCGTCTGCCTTGGAGCGCGCGTTCGGGAGACATTTAGTATCTTCCAGACTGCTCTGAAGGCCGAACAGGACCTGCAAGCCGCCATGGCCGTTCAAGACACCTCCGTCCGAAGATTGACGATCTACGGGCAAAAGGAGAAACGTTAGCCGAGCTCGACCGTCAGATGGCCGAACTAGCAAAACGCCGGTCGGCCATTGCTTCTGAGCTTGCGAGGGACTTCGAGTCAGGCGGGAAGGATCGCCTAACTGAGTATGCGGCGGCCAACAAACGAGTCGAGCGGCTAAAGCTGGATAAAAAGAATCGGCAAGCCGAAGTCATCATGGCCGACGTGCGGTGGTTGGAGTTGAAGGCTCTGCTCAGCACTCTTCTTCCCTCTTCTCCTTAGATGTATTTGAATGTAAACCAACCGTCCTACTCACTTGTAAATACTTATCAATTTTAATGGATTGATTTTTTACTCACGCATTTCCCAAGTAACTGGATAGTATTTCTTCAAAAAACTTCCCATTAATCGGTAAATTTGTGAATCACACCAGTCCGATCTTTAAGATGATACGCCCCTTTGCCGTATACTTTATGCACAATGAACGGCCCTTCCCAATTCGGCGACCACTTGCCGAACCTAGGATCTTTTAGTCCTACGGGCAAACACCGTTTGCCATACCAATTCACCCTCGCCGAACGTTTTCTGTCGCACCTTTTGATTATAGGCTCGCTCGGCAATTTGTTTTTGCGCCACTAGTAAGTTATAAGCGTCAAGTCGCGCTTCTTCCAAATCTTCTAGTTCCTGTCTCATGGACTGATTATATTCGGCGCTAAACAAACTACTTTGTTCAATTAATCGCAACGAATTTATGCTCAACTCGACTGGTAGCACTGCATCATGTCCGTAGGTTAATGCGTATGGGGTTGTTGCAGTCGCCGATCGGGGCGACGTTCGGTATGCCCATAATGCCTCGTTCAACTTCAAATGCCACATGCCAGGCCTCTTTTTATTATTTTTTCGAGGATGCCGATCAAACACTTTATTACTTGCTTCGGCCTGCCCATTCGCCTGTGGATAATACGGTGTGGACTGCTCCAGCCGAATGTTCAAAATTTGCCGTGTATTCTTTAAACCTTTCGGCTGTGAAGATTGTTCCATTGTCGGTTATGATTGTTTCCGGTACACCGAACCGAGTCACAATGTGTTCCTCCACGAAGTCGCAAACTTCTTTAGATGTTAACTCGGCATATGATTTTGCTTCGACCCACTTAGTAAAGTAATCAGTTGCGACTATTATCCATGCATGCTTAGCAGCTCCAGAAGTCGGCGTGATTTTGCCGATTACGTCCATGGCCCATCCTCTAAACGGCCACGGCTTAATGACCGAATGTAGTGATTCGGCCGGGACCCTTTGTATAGGCCCATGGATTTGGCACTGCACGCATCCTCGTGCAAACTCGATACAATCTTTCAGTATTCTCGGCCAAAAATAGCCGTGTCGTCGGAGTAGCCATCGCATTTTCCGTCCAGACTGGTGAGCTCCGCATACCCCTTCATGAACCTCTGCGATCGCCCGAGCACTCTCTTGGGGGCCGAGGCATAGCAGTACAAAACCATCTTCGCCCTTTCGGTACAACTCGTTCTGGTACGTGACATAGTTCATGGCGTGAACCCGTGTCCTGCGACTATGTGTCCCGTTAGGATTATCAAGGTACTGCATAATGGATTTCCTCCAATCATCTGGTATAGCCTCGGCCGTGCAAATTTCTATAGAGTCCTGCCGATCTAACAACGAAGGCAAGGACATGACCCTGGTGCGGATCACATTGTCTCGTCGGAAGATTTGCTGATTAACCAAGGCCGGGTATAGCTGTCGTAATATTGGTATCTCCCGGCCTAGCTTGCCCCCCATGAGTTGAGCACCGGAGGCGATTTGAGCCAACTCGTCTGCGTCGGTATTATGAACCCGAGAAATATGCTCGAATGTAATACCGTCAAAAGACTCGGCCAAATAGCTGGCGACCATGTGGTAGGGCGCCAGAGTACAACTCATGCAGCGAAAAGACCCATTAATTTGGTTAATCACGAGTTCAGAATCACCGAGGACGAGGGCACGAGTGGCTCGAAGGTCAAGAAGGAGGCCAAGGCCAATGACAAGAGCCTCGTATTCGGCCTGATTATTGGTCAAGAAGGAGGCCAAGGCCAATACCAGCGATCGTTGTGAGGAGATTGAAGGACGATGCCCGCGCCGGCCGAAGACGAAGTACTGGAACCATCAAAATACATCGTCCAATAGTTGTCGCGGGTCACCACCATGCCGATTTCGACGTCAGCATCCCCGAAACCGTAAGGCGAAGGGTGCTGAGCAAGGAAATCGGCCAACGCCTGTCCTTTCACAGCTTTCTGCGGCACGTACTGCAAACTAAATTCGGACGCCACATTGTCCACTTCCCCAATTCGGCCTTTGACGATTGGTCGGGTAAGCATGTACCGGATAACGTCGGTCTGGGCAATGACTTGGGTGACCGACGGAGCATGTAATGCCGGAGCTTGGATGCGGCGAAGAATACGGCGAGACACAGTTTCTCAACGGCGGGATAATTGATCTCTGGTTGATTGAGATTCCGGCTTAGATAAAATATAGCCTGCTCTCGGCCGGCCATCATTGTCTTGCGCGAGGGAGGCAGCCGATGGATTCTTCGGCCGCCGAGATATAGAGAGCTTAAGAGGTTTACCCACGCCGAGGGGGAACTAGGACAGGGGGTTTCCGTGAGGGATACTTTGATTTGTGTAAACGCCGCCTGATGCTCGCCGTTCCACACGAATTTATCTAAGTCCTTGAGTTTCAAAAGCGTGGAGAACGCTTTCATTTTACCGGCCGAGTTAGCAATAAATCGGCGGAGGAAATTGATCTGGCCAAGTAAGGACTGGAGTTGTTTCTTCGTCGTTGGGGGTGGGGCATCGACGATTGCGCGTGCTTTATTCGCATCGACTTCAATTCCACGGTGATGCACGAGGAAACCAAGGAAATTTCCGGCCGACACGCCGAAAGCACATTTGGCAGGATTCATCTTGAGGTTGTGCTGACGCATGTGAAGGAAAGCCTGTCGGAGGTCGTCCAGATGTGTCCGTCGGCGTTTAGATTTGATGACAACGTCGTCGATGTAAACTTCGACGATGGTTCCGATTAAGTCGTGGAAGATGGTGTTCATCGCTCGTTGGTAATGTGGCGCCGGCATTTTTGAGGCCGAATGGCATAACAACCCACCTCGTAAGTACCGAGTGCCCCCGGGCAACGGAAAAGCAGTTTTATGCACATCGGCTTTCGGCGATGAATATTTGATTGTACCCAGCATGCCCATCCATAAAGGATAACATCTCATGATTCGCGCGCGGCGTCGATTAACAGGTCTGAAATCGGCATTGTATACTCATCTTTGGGAGTTGCCAGATTCAGATTTCTGAAATCGATGCATATGCGCAGTGCACCATTTTTCTTTAAAACAGGAACGATATTCGCCAATCATTCAACATATCGAGCTGTCCGAATAAACCCGGCTTTCAAAAGCCGAACCAGCTCGTTCTTGATGCTGAGTTGCACTTCCGTCGAAAATCGACGCGGTGGCTGACGGAAAGGTTTACATCCGGGCTTAATACGTAACTCATGCTCGACAAGAGTACGATCTAAGCGCCGGGCATCTCATGGTAGCTCCAAGCAAAGCAATCTTTGAACTCCGTAAGCAAGGCACGAAGCTCATCTTTCATTTGTTGGGGAAGTAAAGCACTAATAAACAAAGGCCGTGGGTCATCGGCCGTCCCAACATTAATCTCTTCCAGGGGATCCTTAACTTGGGGCCGATGGTCTTCGAGCGCGGCCGGGGCGGCTTGAATTTTATCAAGAGACAAAACAGGACCATTATCTCCTTCGGCCAGGAACTCGACGAGGTTAACGCCCGAATTTGGCTGTTTAGATATAGTATACCAATGGGCCAGCAGTCGTTCCATAGTAGAGATGAAACCGCGGCCCTACGTGCTTCTCGATCGGTGTCAGAGACATCGGCCTCGGGGAGGAAATTGGCTAATCCGAGTCTCGCCGAATCCTGGTGGACAGTCTCGGCGCCAACCTCGATAGCTTTCTGTACAGAAATCCGAGTCGGCCGGCCTTCATCATTGAAGCCTTGCAAAGTAATGTAGCCGACGTGGTCATCATAATACCGTGCTTGGATCATGTTAGTTTCAAAGGGCTGGTTATCGGCTGGGTGAACAGTGACCGATTTGCCGTCCCAAAAAATAAGCACTTGATACAATGAGGAAGGAATACAACTGGTTTGATGAATCCAATCTCGACCGAGCAGTGCATTATACTCCGGTTTTGGAATCAACTACAAAAAAAAGCGGTCATGTGAGTGCGACCGGCAATAGTCACAGTTAACGGCAGTACACCCTTGGTTTGCGATTTGTCGCCGACGAAACTACTCATTGTGATCCCTGACGGAATAAGTTCGTCGTTCGACGAGCGACGCAAGGCCTTCATGATGTTCAGAGGCAGGATATTGACGGTCGCGCCACAGTCGACAAAAACTTTAGAAACGGGATATCCCTCGATGTGGGCCGTCACATACAATGGCTTTAAATGGTGGAGTGCGGCCGATGACGAACGAGGAAATAATTCGGTCAAAGCGGCCTTCAGACTATCATCTTTCGTTGTTGACTCATCTTCAGCAATAGACACAAAATCCACATGGCCAGTTTCCTCGGCGACTACATCACCATCGAGGAAATTCGGTTGAGCCGTGCTTGATTGAAAATCAGCAGGTAACACATGGACCATACTAATTTCCATGTTATCCAAGACTGACGGGCCCATCGGGTTGGGACCCTCCTCGCTAACCTCATCCCTCGTTTGGTCGACGACTGCGGGCTCTGTTTTTTGTCAGAGTTGGACAAAAAGACTCCTCTGTCC